TTTTTTTTTTTAGTTAAGAGAAATTAGTAGGTAGCTTTGTTAAGGTCGTTTTGGAATGCACAATCAGATAAATGGTCTAAATTCACGTATCCAAAGAAGTCTAATACATCGATTTTACATTGCAAATTTTCTTCTTTTTCTATCTTCGTCGTCAGCTTGAAAATCAATAGCAAAACATAATAAAAATACTGTAAGGAATACTTTTTTGTATATTGCGTGCAATTTGTATTTTCAAATTATCCAGAAATGCATGAAGACCCGCAGTCTATTAATTGACAATAGCAATATGATGCTTGGTCTTACTAATTAAACTTATTATCCACAGATCGAAACGTCAGACATAGCAATCAGCTGTTTCAACGTTGGAAGCGTCATCGGCAAATCAGCGAGCCGTAAACTGCTTAACGCAAGGAGCCGCGAGAAATGTTACTTTCGTTTTTTCGCTGGGAAATCGTGTTTGATCGAGCAACGATTGCAAGCACTGCAGGAAAAGTATTGCAAGGCTACGAGCGCGCAGCCCGGTGGAACGATCAAATTGGAAGGAAAAATCGAAGAGATTCGTTAGAGGCGACGAACAAATCACAAAAAGAACAATTTCCAAAGGAGAAGAATATCGAAGAGAGAAAAAGTGGGAAAAGACAGAGAGCGTACACGCATAAATAAGAATTTAGTTTCTAGGAAAATCATTGATGCACGAGCATGATAAAATACTTATGAGGAAAATGTTTATAAATATTCTTGCGTAAATCGTTGCCCGTAATCAACGACTCGACGTTGGACGAAAACCAGCTTCGAGCAGGAAAGACTGAGCCATATCGTTGAAAAGTTTTGAGAACAAGTAAACAGGTATAAATAGTATTGCGATGCTAAAAATATTCGTCGAAACGATTTATTAAAGGAAGAAACTTGCACAGAATTTTCAACGAATAGAGATTACAAGAGAAAAACTTGATCACATTATTTTTATAAAAAGAAAAAAGAAAAAAGAAATAGATATTTTTTGATACTTTTAGATATTTTAGATAGTCTCGCGAAAAGTGTGAATACTTGCAGCGAATTGCAACTTTGCTGGCGCGATATTCAACAAACTTGCCTCTATTTACAAAGTGGAAATAGCAGAGTGAGTCAGAGTGTACACGGGCAAGAGAGTTCACGACGCGTTGAAGAGGCGCAAATTACGACTGCATAACTCCGGAAACGAGACGATCCTCAGTCAATTTCTCGACCATTAGCGAACATTAGCCAATTATAACACGTGAGATTTTCCAAGCGTTGCACGACAAAGGAGATCTTGTAACGTTACAATCTCGTGGAAAATATTGGAGCAATCTTTATGATCGTAAAACGCGACAGATTCCCGCTGAAAACATGGCTACGGAGAGTGAAGAGGCACTATCGGGGACACCTTGGTATGCAAAGTTCTTCGAATATTGGAAGAACAGGAACCGAGTTGATCCAGGTAGAGTGGAACTTCCCGACTGCGACTTCTTCATCGTCGGGCCGCGGCGAACCTTGAGGATCCTGAAACCAAGTTTGAAGAGCTGCTGGTATTACAAGAACGCGAACGAAAGACACGAATCCATCGCCGACAATTTCTTCACTCGCTGGTCCAGGAGACCACATTCGTCCGGCAACTGCAGATGCTCTTTTCGACAATCGAAGCGGGCAAGCACTGCCGAAGAACAGATCATCTCCGACGAGTTAAACAGAATCCGGACGAGCCTGTGCGAGGCGGAGAAGAACGAACGGGCGATCGAGGAACTCGAGCACAGGGTGTCGGCAAATTTACAAAAACTGCAGGCTTCCGGTGGTGAAGATGAATCGGCCAGCGTTGAAGAACAGGGTATCCCTGGAACGAACCAAGCTACTACGGGCGATCAACAAGTGGACGAGCAAACGATGAAAAACAGAATCGTGAAGGATCTGGAGAAGTACATTAACGTGCTGCTGGAAGAGATATTGGATGACACGGTGAGGTACGTGGCGGCTGCGGACGACGCTCTTATCAAGGATGCGAGAAGCTCTAAAAAGAGAAACGATCGTTCGTCGTCGCGGCGATCGAGTCGCGATAAAGGGGAGTCGGACGAGAGGAAGCCAACGAGCGAGGAGTCTCGCGGTACCGAGGAATCGTTCGACGACATCAGCTTCTCGTTTCATTCGGCGAGAATCGGGAGGAACGAGAGGGGATCGGAGCGGCGAGGTAACGGCGACGAGGAGGCGTTGTTGAACGGCGGCAGCGAGGGTTACGTGAACCGCGGTTTCATCGGCACGGCCAACGATCCCGACTCGTTGGACTTCTACCTGAGACGATCGATCGGCACGGAAGTCACACTGGAGCAGTTGGATTGCGTCGATTCCGGGATAAACAGCGTGGAGACGATCGAATTCCAGCCGGATCAGGAGCCGAGCCTCGAGCAATCCCTGTTGAAGATCATCGACGAGAAGCTCGGTAGAACAGCCCTGAGGAACAGTTGGGAGGACTTGAGCGCAGGTGGCCGGGAGAACGATGCTCACGGCCAGCCGACAAAGGGAACGGACGAGGAGACGGTGATTCCGAGAAGTGGCGAGCAACCGAGCAACGATCGAGGCACCGAGAGATCGGAGGTCACCGGGAAGAATGACGCGGAAAGGAGCGAGCCGCAGGATTCGAGCGTTCAAACCGCTCGGGCAATCGATATCTCGGCGGATAATCTCGAGCGTGGCGTGCCCGCGGTGGATCTGAAGGAGTTGGAGGAAACTGTTAACGAGCCCAGTTTCGAGAAACTGCGGCTGGAATTCAAGGACAACGGCAACGAGCCGTCCTTCGGGACCAAAAAGGACAACAACGCGATCGCCAAGCTGCGAGGAAAGTTCGCCGCGACACCGGCCGATCACGAGGCTGATCGCTGCTCCTTGGAAAAGAGCAGCTGGAACGAGAAAATGGGCAGGTTCGAGCTGAGGAAGGAGGCAGCCGCGTCCATCGAACTCGAGGACTACAGGAAGACCTGGCCGAACATCGACGAAAATGTCGAAGAGAATCCGCAAGATTTGGTCACGTTTAGGAAAAATCGGAAGCCCATGATCGTATTCCTTCATGGTTTCGGATCGTCGGCGGAGATTTTCGAGCACCAGCTTCGATATTTCTCTGCCCTGGGCTATCCCTGTATAGCGCCGGATATGCTCGGACACGGAATGAGCTCGGCACCTGGACGATCCAGGGATTACCATTTTAACAAACTGCTGAAGGATTTGGACACGATACTGTGTCATTATGCTTTCAAGCCTGGCCAGAAGTGCGTCCTCGTAGCGCATAATTACGGGTAACTATTTCTCTTTTATCTTCTCTTCTTGTTCTCGGATTTCTTTTTTGTCGAAAAGAATTCTAATCGTTTCAAACTTAATAATTTTACACTCAGTTTAGCGAATGAAAAAGATTTATAATATATTTTAAGAAACTGTTTGACTCTCAAATGATTAGATTACCAACATTTAGAAATTACTAAAATTTGATTGTATTTTGCATCTTAGATTCTTCGTAATGGACAGAATTCAGCTTAACTCTGAAACTAATCTACATTATAGTTCCCAACATTTCTAAATAATACTAGTTAACGTAAAACTTAATTGGAAAACCATTTTTTCGTGTTTCAAAAATACAAGTGAATCGAAAATGATTGAAAGAATGTAGCAGGGTTAATCGTAGCAAAAACTTCAAACTATGAATTAGATAATATCGTACTTAATAACTATAATCAGTATTTCACATCCTTGAACGTCGGACAATTGTCGCGTGCATTCGCCTATTACGAGTGAAATTATTTCATGGTCGAAATCATCAACAGCATGTTTATTTAAATGATGGTTCTGTAGCCATCGTTTTTATCTCTCTATTTACGAACAAAGAATTCATTATAAGACTAAAATATCGGTAATTAATTGTTCATTTAATGTTTCATCAAAATATCTCTGTCGATCTAAAAATTTGAAAACAATTTCATTTAGTGTTGTAATCAAATTAATTTACATAAATGTAAATAAAGATTATAGGTCAATTTAGTTTAATTGATCAAGAGAAAAAAATTAAACAAAATGTGGTGAGTTCTATACTATGCTAGTGGCTTTCTACATTTTTTTTAATTATTCAACTAGCAATCTATGCTTCTGTATAGCATATTCGAAAACAATTCCAAGCAACCATAGAAGACAAAAGGTCTCGATTGGCCGCAAAATAAAAGCCTGTAGCACGTTAGTGAAACCGGTGTTAAATTAAAGGTCTCTTCAGTTGTATCCGTAAAAATCTGTATTTGCATAAACATCCGCCGTCTATTCATTACCATTATAAAATTATTTAGCCGTGACTAGCAGAGCAGCAAACCTTTAAGCTGCAGTCGCGTAACTTATCTTCAAACCATTTAAAAGCATCTGGTGTATCGTAATTGCGGGCTATACACGCGAGACAGTGGCCTTATCGGATATCTGATGATTACAAATTTCTTGACGTTTGAATCGTTGCGCGTACGAACGATCGGCTGCACACGTTCGCCCGATAAAACGGCTAATGGCCGAACCTGAACGCGCATTTAATCCGCGTGCCTCGAGTTCTTCAAATTCGTCGGGGTGATCGATTCATTTTTACAGGCGTTGCCAGTGCACGTTCTTGCTCCGTTCTCTCCCGTATCGTGATGCTTAAAAGCTTTTTGCCATTGCTCGTTCTTTCACCTGAGAAAATTGCGATTCAACCGGTGTATAAGCAACGGCAGAGATACGAAGCGAGGAGAGAAATTCCGCTTGGCGTAAAATGCACGTGTTCCTCGTACTGAGGAGTAAACTGTGTGTTTGTCGCAGATGTCGCGAGACAGGGATTCGGATTAGCTTTCACATTGTTCTTCCTCGCTTTGTTAGATTTTTAAGAGAAAAATGCACGGATAAAATCGGTCAGAATTCGGCAGTCAAACGT